CACACACACACACACACACACACACACACACACACACACACAGAAACATATATCACTGTTATTATTGTTAACATATACTTTACACGGGAGACAAATATCATTGTACGAATATTCGCACACGGGGACAAATAGTAAGACCAAATTAAGCTCAACTAAATTAAATGTGAACACAACCCTATGCTATTTCATTACGCTACACCTATAGTACACGATGGTAACCACTGATCAACCCCTGTCATATATTTCCTTGCCATAAATAAAATATGAGCAGCGAGCTAACCGCAACCCCTCTATATTACACTCATAACTAAGCACGCGTATCAACGAATTCATTAATACACATGCCTAATTACGAGTGTAATATAGAGATATTGTTTCACTGTAGTGAATGCACTACAGTCATCAAATCTAAACGCAAAGGTCACTCAAGGAAAACTCTGAAAGTGTTCTTTACTGACATTGGTTCATTCCATAGAGACCGTTTCACTGTCTGACTGCCACTCATAGATATATACGCCCACGAGTATAATTTATTGATAGGTGCACGTTCTATATGCGGTTGTGCTAATTAAAAGCTACTAATTACTCCTTTCTTTTACACACTCTTTCTATAATGGCGTGCACCTCGAAGCAAACGATCACGTGACATTTGTTGCATAAACAATCGGTGTTGCTATGACGATCGAACGTGGCCTGCTAATTAAGAGTGGATAAACATGCATGGCAGCGCGGCAGCTGGTTAGTTCACAGTTATGCGGACACCTTACATCGCAGACGAACGACTTCTGTGCGAACTATACTCTTCGCTTGACATTGATACAGTCCTTCCGATCCACGCTCACAAGCACAGGCATGGTCTCCTGCACTATTCCACTGCAAGTTTGCAGAACTACATCTGTTAGAATTTGGTCGGTGCAAAGGGCTACATACATAGCATAGAGTTTTACACTTGCAAACACATTTGTACGACTCGAAATTCACTCACAACCAATTTCACCAACTGCTAAACCTAAAACTCTCTCCTCTGTTCGTCACTCAGTAACAATTGAATCAGAGCAAGTGGCAACAACAGACCACAACACA